CCAATATTGTCTTCGCTGGAGTGTGTTAGGTCGTGTGGTGGTAAACCCGCTCGGGGCTGAGTGGAGTATGCCTACGCCTCGAACAAAACAGCCTCTATCGGCCGATCAGGTGTCGATGCCTCAAGCAGCGTCTTAAGAGTCGTCAGTCCGCCAGGACTTCCACCGTGTTAGCATGTGATGATTTTTGTTGAGAGGGTGGCGTACCCAGCCCCAATGACGGCGACTCGCATCGCAGGAAGCTTGTCGGTGCCTGCCATTTCCACGATCAATCAAGAAACGATATCTACAAGGTCTACAGGAAAGTGATGTTCTAGAGTCTAGAGTTACATCTCGTGTGGCCACTGCTGGATGTCGCATGCAAGGGACGCGTCGGCGATATTCCCTCAACCAATCAAGACGTTCAATCTAAAGGATGACATCAAGACAGGACGCGCGACTCCCGACGGGCACATGTTGCTCCATGCACTTTGCTCCATTTGAGCCTAGTCCCGGCGACGATGCCGTCGCCAATTGATGTTTGCTATCAAATTGGGTAGAGACGGACGATGCCTGTTCTGAGACTGCTGCGGGCCAGCAGCCGAGGACATGCGACGATTTGCACGTCATGCCCTAAATATCAACACCATAGCTCCACACCGCTGACGTCCACGACTACCTCAGCATGGAGCAGCCACGCGAGAAGGTCGCAATAATAGGCTCAGGCCTGGCAGGACTGGTTAGTGCGAACCTGTTGTTCCACGATGTCCGTCAACGATACGCGGTCAGGGTCTTCGAGTCGGTAGGCCGCCTAACATCCACTCTATCCGCGACTGTACTCACAAAAGTAATTTTAGGGCAGAACGCTTTCCCTAGACGCCGCCTCTATCTCCATCCCCGATGCAGCCACCGACGCCTCCACCCGCGTGGACCTGCCCATGCGCGCGTTTGCGGGCGGCTACTACAACAACCTCAAAGCCCTGTACGACTACCTGCGCATCGAATACAACTCCCAACCCTTCCTCTTCGAATTCGCGAAATGCCGCGATGCGAGCCCCGAGGCCTTAGCGACTGGCCGCCGCGACACGTCGTACTTCACACATGCGTCGAATCTCCACCAGATGGCGCCCCGACCGAGCAGAGTTAGCAGGACCTCGTACCTGATGCAATGGCTATACCTGGTACTGGCCTACTCGTGGTTCGCGCTCTGCTGTTTCTTCTTCGAGCCTAGACAAGGCGAGACTATGCAGCAGTATCTGGACCGCACATACTGTCCGACCTACTTCGTCACCTACTACTTACTCCCTCTCTTGTCGAGCGTATCCACCTGTCCCCACGAGTCGCTACTCGCCTTTCCTGCCAGCGACATCATCGAATACAAGCGGAGGAGCCATGGCGCACCGCACTATACTGTATCAGATGGCGTGGGAGGGGTGCAAGACCGCCTGGTCAAGGGCATCGATGTTACTCTCGAGGCTACTGTCACGGCCGTAGAGCCCTCCGAAAAGGGCGTTCGGATAACCTGGTCTCAGGGCGGGTCAGACGCTCAGAAAACGGAATTCTTCGACAAAGTCATTCTTGCAGTCGCCCCGGATGTCGTCGGCCGTGTCTTCAGACCCCTCCAACACCACTTGCAGCGCATACCGACTGCAGTCGTGGAAAGTGTGGTGCATACGGATTGGGCAGTTCTCCACGGAAGCGACGCCAGGCACGTCGATAAGAAAACCGCGCAGCTCATCCACCTCAATACGGCAACCTCCGGTACGCACACAACCGAATCGCATCATGTCCAACCATGTGGCGTCGTAGTAACTACTTGCCCATGTACTCCTCTCGATGAGAAATGCGTTGCTCAGCGGAGCCGGTTCACGCGCGTTCTTCGCAGCCCGGAGAGCCAGCGCATCGTCAACGCCATATTTGATAAGCGCTCGAACTTCGACACAGATGACAAATCAGTGCCACAGTGGAGGAATGGCGAGGACAATGTGTGGCTCGTGGGCGGCTGGTGCTGGGACGGTATGGTCCTCTTGGAAGGCTGCGTTGTCTCGGCCATGCGAGTGGCTGATGCGTTCGACGTTGCGGTGCCCTGGAGGCATCAGTAGTTCATGAAGACAAGCGTATTCGGACTCGGACTGTGACGCATGAAGCATCCTCTTGCCTCTAGTCCTTTCGTAGCCTTGCAGGCAATCCAATAGAGTAGATACCCGGGCAAGACAACATGCCCATAGCATCCTAGGACTCAGGAAGTGATGTAGGCGATTCAAAGTGTTTGAACGAAAGTGAAAGTATTCGGGATTGAGGGTTCTAGGATGCGACTTCCTGTTGTGTGTATCATATGGCGTCTCGTCATACATTTTCGCCGGAAACGGCTAGCGTCGTTGCCTCGTTGAAGCTTCCCGCGAAATCTCCCAAGCACTCGGCCCTGCGTCGCACCAATCACTACCACACGCCAAACAAATGTCCGCTACCCAGATACTCGGCGCAGGGCTGGCGGCCCTACTGTTTTGGCTGATGATGAGAGCGCGGGGGGCTCAAGAAGACAAGGCTTCAGTTTACGGGTTGCAGCATGGGCGGCTACATCTGCAGCTTCCCACAGCCATGTGGATGAACATGGGGTATTGGAAGAACGCCACCACTTCAACGACATTAAGCGAAGCCTGTCGAGACATGCTGAACGTAATCCTTGCTGAGGCCGGCCTTTCAAGCGACAAAGGCCCAGCAGCACGGAGAAGAGCCTTGGTGGATCTGGGCTTCGGATGCGGGGACCAAACCATCTATCTCATGAGCAAGGAACCTATTCGAGCGTGCGACAAAGACTGGTGGGATGAAAGAGATCGCTGCGCCACATTCCATGATTACATTGGCATCACGAAAGATGCAGTGCAGGCTCGATACGCCTCGGAGCGACTTGCCGAGCTCAAGAAGAATACGACGAAGGCGGTATCTCCTGAGATGGAAGATGGTGGAAACCCCACGATATCTCTCTTCTGTGCCGACGCGTCGAAACCCAAGTCCTGGAACCAACAGATGCAAACAAAGTTGCAGCTTGCGAAGGACGATACAGAAGAGCGTTGGGTGTTGGCACTAGACACAGCATATCACTTCGCCCCCTCACGCTGGCCCATCATTGAGTACGCTCACTCAGAGCTAGAAGCAAACTGGATGGCCTTTGATCTATGTCTCTCTCCTACCGCTACATGGGCCCAGAGGATGACGCTTCGCCTTCTCACTGCCCTCATGGGTGCGCCCTGGGCCAACTTCACCACACCACAGGGGTACCGCGAGAGGCTGGAGCAGATAGGATACAACCCTGAAGCCATCACCACCACTGACATCTCAGAACATGTGTTCGCGCCACTGGCAGCATTCCTGAAAGAGCAGGACGACAGGCTCAAGATGTTAGGATTAGGCTTAGGTCGCTTTGGTGTCGCGAAAGCCATGTTCGGCTGGTGGGGGCGGACCGGAGTTGTGCGTGGCGTAGTAGTGGTCGCGAAGAAATGAGTTGTATGTCGGTTATACGAGATCTAACCTCGCCTGGACCCTTTACCGGTGTGGTGGGAGGCCTGAAGTCAGCCCTGTAAGGCTGAGGTGGAAATAAGACACCAGCACTTGCCGCGAAAAGTGTACGCGTTGGACGACCCTCTGCGAGTTTGCGCCATGATGTCTCATTGACTAATCTGTGGGCTGGCCTTTGAATAGGTTCACAAGGGTTTGGCACTGCGTTTGGTATACAAGTATGCCTCCCTCTGGAGCCCCTGTGCGACGATGGTGGAGGATCGCATTCCCTCGTGCCGACACCCGCTCTTAGCCCCCAACTTCAATACAAACTGCACGCCAAGACAAGAGCCAAGACGGCGCAGTCGAGTTACGCGCTGTCAGACGATAACATCCGCATGCTTTATTAAATCTACGCTACATCCCTTACAGCGGGAATCTTGACTCCCCATCTTCCCTAACGACGGATCGATCACACCAAACATGGAGCAACGGGAGTCGCATGAGATGCACAGCGTCAGAGAGGAGACCAGACAAGCAAACGCGGGTGCACCCAAGGTCCCGGAAACTACTCACGAGCCCATGTACACGTCGAGGCTGTCGAGAGCGTCTTCCATGACCGTTCGCGAGCCCATCGTCAGGACCCTCCACACTTCGTTCTGGCCGCTGATGGTCTTCATCTTTTACGCTACACTCGCCCTATTCACCTGGATCGTTCTTTGTGTCGCGAGCAGCCGGCCGATTGGAAGCAAGTTAAGCTATACGGATAATCAAGACTACTTTAAAGATGTAGCTCGTCTCTTGGCTAAACACGAGAGGATCCTTAGGGCTGCGCAGATCCTGCAATCGGTAGTCGCCCTACTCACCATTCCCATCACTTCAGCGATATGCTCTATAGCCTTCGCTGCCTATATCCAGGCTGGCAGCTCGAGAACGAAGTTGAATCTGCGTCAGACTATGGCGCTTGCAGATCAAGGCTGGATCAGCCCAAGAATGTGGGCTAGGTGGTCTAAAGTTGGAAGTCTTCCATTGTACTTCGCCTTTGCATTGACCTTAGTGGGTGAGTCATGCCCAGATCTTGGCAGGAAGCCGGTGTTGACTCGAATACAGGTGCTGTCTTCCCGATTCTGCAGACAACGTTTATCCAGGTTACTCCGACACGAATACCAACTCGCAGCACACAGTCCGGTCTGATTAGGGTCGCTGATATACCTGCTCTAATCAGCAGCACCGACAATGACATAAACACAGCAGTTGTTCGACTCCGTAGCATTCTAGAATCGCGCGCGGAAAGAGAACATGAGCCTTACCTCTGGATCGATGAACAGAACGATGGACTGGATAATGACATGTGTTACGATACATTCAGTGTGGCCACCAATTGTAACCGCTTCTCGAGGAGTCTTTATCAACTTGATGAGATGAGCTTAGATGCCTGGTTCTCACCCGTTCCCTTGGACTTCAGCACCGGTGTCTATGTTGACCCTCAGTACGCACCGCGCCTCAATACCACAATTGAATACCGGAACATGACAGACGCTGAGTGGCCAACCGAATGCGTTCGCGACAGAGAAGATGTATTTTTCGCACAATACCGTGGAGGAGAGACGGGATACCGGGAGTTCGATATAATAGCTTGCATACCCGCCAATATCTCTGGCACGCCTTGGCAAGCTACGTACAACCGGCAGGACATTACCGAGGATCTTTTCCTCGCAATTTCGGTGCCTTCAACGTTACGCACTCTTGTTATGTGGAAAATCACCGCCCGTTCGACGTTAGGCTACTTCGAACTTCCTAATACCAAGAACGGCAATCGCGCCGGGCCGTTACTCCATGAGCTATCCTTGGACAGCGCTAGAGGCTCTTCAACCAGCGGATCCAGTCGAGATGAGAAACGAGCAACCAACGAAACATACGCAGGAAATGTGAGACAACCCATTGGAAATCACATCGGTCCGCTGACTGCTATTGGACTGGCACTATTCGGCGAAGGCTCTTTCATCGAGAGAAGAGTTTCAAATCCATCCGCCTTCCTTGTAGATCGGCCTGAGGTCGATGATGAAGTATGGTTCAGAAATTTCGGCAACAACTGCCTCGGGAATATGCCTCTCAACTTTGCCATAGGGGGCCCGTGCCTCCGCGACTACGACTACCAGTCCGAAGTCGACGTCCTTGGCCGCGTGAGACAACTAGCTGCATTCTTTGATTCGGAACGTTCTGCAAGTAGGGCGTTCACTGTGGCCGCTTTCCTCGCCAACAAGGAGTGGCTGAACCCGAGCCAATTCCACAGATGGGGAGGATTCGACCAATCGCGGAATGTATATGTCGATACGGGCGTTCCAACCAAGAAGACATATATCGCGCTTTGGGGGGTCATCACCGGGTCCGTTTTCCTCGGCCTTCACCTTCTCGGATTACTAGTGCTTGCCCTGTACGCCTTTTGGATGAGGCCATTCATGCCTTGGTTGGGTGCAGAATTCGTGGTCAAGGCTGGTACGGCACATGCTGATATTCTGAGCGCTGCCGAAGGGGACAAGCAGTGGAAGCAGACTGTTTCTGCGTGCCCTGGGTTCGTCGGGGACGAGAAACCCACAGATGATGTGGGTCGAATCGCATTTGGTGCTACTGCTGCCTTGAGCACAGCACGGGACAAGAAGTTTGAGGAGCTATAGTGTGGGTGTAATTCTAATAGATCTGGTTCATCGTTGATGCGGAACTTTTACCCGCACCTCGTCTATGGAAGGAAGCGAACAGAACTTCCGCAGCCCACATTGGTATCGAATCGAAAGTCCGCGAAACCTCAGCGCAGTGGAGACTTCTAGGCTTCCGTGGCATGTGATGAGTACGACTTTTTTTCATAGGCCCTTCAATGGACTTGAGTCACAGCTATCTGAAAATCTAAGGTTCGGCATGGCGCTCCGGCGAACAATGCGCGATCGTGCGCTCCTGATAGTACGTAACCACCACTCCTGAGGTCTCCAAGGTCAGCAAACCCACTCATTACCCACGGGCAGCGTGAGTCGCAGATAGCTTTCCAACTCAATAATTAACTCATTACCACCGTGCAGTGTGAGTCCCAGAGACGCTTCCAACTCAATAAATAGTGCTCTGTCCCTCTCTTCTCTCCATTATCCTTTCTTCATCATCCATCACATTCAAAGTCCAAAATCCGAAGAAAGTTTTACCATTCCATCCCAACTATCTTCAAACACTATTACCAACACTACCACCACACCTACCAACACGACCTCACCACACTACAAACAAACATGTCTTCAACCACACCTGTCTACGCCTGCAAGGCCGACTTCATCGCTGCGGGTATGTCTCCTTACCTCCTGCCCGCCAGCGAAGCAGACACGTGCAGCATCTGCACCAAAGACTTGGCCTGCGAGAACCCCTCGGCCACCAAGCTCACCGCCGCCGACAAGGAAGTCCTTGAACTGGCCTTACAACACCCAGCCAACACAATTGTCTTCAAGTCAAGTTGGCTCAAATCCACAAAGCCTCTTCACAGCCACCACACCAATGAAGAGCAACCAGTGTCAAAGCTAAACGCCTGCGGACACGTTTTCGGCACCAACTGCATCATGACTTGGTTTGAGAGATGCAACACTTGTCCTATGTGTAGGAAAGTACTGTTCCCAACATGGGCACAGGAAGAGATGGAGAGGGAGAGGGTGGAGAGGGAGGAGGAGGCGAGCAGGAGTTTTTGGGGGTGGATAGAACCCCCTTTCTAAGTACTAGCATTTCACTGCACCGATGCAGAAGAAAGCGACGACCTCCTGGGGTGGTTTTGGCGTTTCGTTTTTTTGGGTTTTGGGGTCTTGAAGGTCGACGCGCATCATTATGAAGTTTGCCTGGGCTGGGTCAGAGGTCACTGAATACCTCCTGGGAGAGGTTTGGCGTTGGCGTCTATCGGTTTTCACGGTTGCGAATGCCTCCGCGCATGGTCGTACCGTATGGTTTCTGTAGTTCCGAATGCATTGTCTCTCACTCACTCACCCGTTCTCTGCCGTCCCCAATCACATGTGACAGCACCAGATAAGCCCACGCCACGTGACACCACCTACCTCCCTCCTATTGCCCTGCATATGACACGCAGACGACCGCATTACTGCCCGAACCTTAGCCCGATGACTTCATCCAATATACAACCTGCGACGTCACCTCTAGGATTTTAGGCCGAAAGAGCTGCAGGATCGTATGATCGGAGCGAGATATACCCCAGATGCGGGTTTATCTCTGGGCTAATTCTAGAAGGCATCTTTGCGGTAACTCTCCCGTTGCACGCGTGTGCATTTGCGGTGTCATGTCGGAGATTTATTTCGGAGGACCGATCGGGCCGCTATTGAAAAGAAAAAGAGAGGGCGGCGTCCTTTAATATGTGTAGTGTTGAGCGAGACGGCACGACTGTTAAGAAAGAAGGTTAGAGTATATAGCAGGCATGAATGCTGTCTCAACGTGTGCCGGGAATCTCGAGAAGCAAAGTTACAATCTTGTTAGGCTTGTTGGTAGGTGGAGTTTGTGTTCTAGGTCACGATAGAAGGGCGCCACCTCGCTTGTGCCGGAACCATGACCTGGCAGACCACGCGACGAAGAACGGCCGACGCGGCGGGCTTGTTTCAGTTCGCGGTGATGAGCATGGGGGCTGCGTGATCGATAGGGGAAGCCAACCGTCGCCTCGGGGGTGTTCAGCTTCGGCAACCCCGCACGTCGTGATGCAGACATATGCGCGGATCGCCTATAGCGTTGAGTTACTTTTCTTTTGCTAGCCGATCGCCTCGAGGGAAGTGAAACTATCATCAAGAAACCTACCAGAATACGGCAAAGAATTGCCAGCTTGCTATATTGCTTTTTGTCTGCAATAGCTTATACTAGCCGCATTAGTCGCCTAAAGCTTACTCTTTCTATAGTCTATAGAGATTACGTGCAAGGCTGCCTATTAAATAAGGCTATATCTTGCTAAACTTTGTCTCTAGCTACCTAGCCTTAAACTTATTCTTAAAAAGACTTAATTACTAGTATCTTATAAACTTTAAATATACTACTATAGCTAAGCTACTACTGCTATACTTCTTTTTTATAAGCTCTTACTCTTTATTATAAAGATTTTACTTTAAGAAGACTATAGTCTTTATATTATAAGCTTACTTAATACTTTTATTATATAGCTTTTACTAATAAGATAAAGAAAAATTTACGCTTTATACTAAAACTATATAAATTCTACTAGCATTAATAATCTATAGTAGCGTCTCTTAGCCTATAAATTTAAGAGTATATAGCGTTTTATTATTTACGCTTATACTTATAACTAAATCTAGAGAGCTGCTATCTAAAAAGATAATAAGAGTAAAGTAAGGTAGACAAAAATTGCTAGCTTAAACCTAAGAGATTAGTATTACTTAGTTATAGGCATTTTATTTTGCTAAGTGTTAGTCTAGGCTATTTAGGTAATAAGCTCTATATTCTAGATATTCTAGAAATTTAAGCTAAAGGCCCTGTAACTCTTTGCCACAAGTGCCCCGGAAGCGCAAGCCCCCATGAACGGAGGGCCTGCTGGTGTGGTAGCTTTCATTGGGTCACAGGTATATGGCTGGCAGGGATGCATGCAGGTTAGCCGTGTTCCGCGTCGGACCGTCAGATGTGCGACAAATCAGCGGCGCACAGCATGAGCCCCGCCGCGCTCCCTGACTAGGTCTTGCTTCCCGAAAGGCCAACACTACAAGTACACTTGTCGCATGGGCCGCACGGCTGAGGCACCCTGGGTGACGCGAGATAGGCGTTGAAGACGGCGGACTCAACGAGCATAGTGCATGACAGCTCTGTGCTCTGGACCAGGCAATTGGGAGGATCGCCTCTTTGGCTTTATCTACGTTCACTCGCTCCGCTCGGGGCATTTTAATCCTGGTTCCAGTTACGCCCCTCTCTTTCGACGACTTTGGCTTTGATGTGCGCTCGGTATGCGGTGAAGTGAAGAAGAGCTGGATAGTATTGATCATGGCGGGGAAGCAATCGGATCGTTTCGACATTGTCAATGGCAAGCAGCTTGCGTTGTTGATTGCGCCTACACTATGCCTTGCGGTGGCTGCGGCAGCGGTGGCGGCGAGATGGTACACGAGGAGTGTCAGACGGGTCAACACGATCAACGAAGATGCGCTGATGCTGGCTGCTCTGGTAAGACGATGGAATGCTGACGGCGGTACCATGCTAACAGTCGTAGGCTATGAGCTTTGTCGTGGTTACGCTAGTTTACGTGCTGGTGTTCCTCGGCGGAGAAGGGCTTACGAGCTATGAGATTCAGGCGGACCCGACGAAGAACTTTGACGTTGTGGAGCGTTTCTGGCTGCGGGTATGTTTAGCTGGAGGCTTCTTGAGAGTTGGCTAACAGGCTTTCAAGATACAATTCGCACTGGATATCTGTTGGGCCACATCGGTTGCAACGGTGCAGGTGGCGTTTGCGAAATCCTACCTACGCCTGTACGAGAAGAGAGTTTTTGCTCGCATCGCTTGCTATGCGTCTATGGCGCTCATCGCGATCTGGTACATCTGGTCGCTCGCGGGTTGGATCAGCATGTGCCATCCACCGGGGGAGTGCAAGCTGCAGAGCAAGAAGTCGTGCATCATCATTGGATCGCTGCACGTCTTCTTCAACAGTGTCATCCTCTTTGCCCCGATACCTGCCATAGCAGCAGCAGATCTCTCAGGCAAGAAGAAGGCGTGGGTGATGGTCTTGTTCCTCCTTGGATGCTTGTACGTGAAGCTAAGCGCTCGCTCCAAATAGCTCTTGCTGACACCACACAGTTGTACTATCCTAGCAGTCCTCCGTATCGACTGCGCGATCGACGTCTTCGGCAACGTCAATGATGATCCGATCGGTGCGTCGTGGTGGCGTATCTGCTTTTCCCCAATCGAGGTCGCTGTCGGTATCGTCTGCTGTTGCGTTCCCAACGTCCGTTCACTTCCTTCGTGGCGCCGAACTCCTCCACTCCCGACTGAGGATGGCGGTATCGGTCTCCGCCGGATGAAGTTCCGCACACAGAGCAACGGCTCGTCGACATCAAATCTCAACGCACCTCCTTCGCAATGGATGCCAGGCATCAAACCGCAGGCGGCTGCCTTCGTCACGCTGAGCAATGAATCGGCTCCTTCGGAGAGACTGGGCTCATTGGGGCTGAACGAAATCAAAGTTACGAAAGAGTATAACCTTGATCGGTTATGAGTGTGTTGTTGGGACGCAGAGTCGAGATGGCTAGCCCACAGCGATGCATGAAGCAGGCGCATAGGACGGTGGCTTCTTGGAAAACGTGCGGTGCTTCATTGTACGACGTGGGAGGGAAGTGTCACTTCGGACATGCGCGCACTTGTCCTCGACGTCCATGTGGCACAGTCGTGCCGCTGCGGGAGGACGCGCATCTGACGTCACAGTCACACTACCGGAACGTGATCCACGGATGGATCCTTGGCCCACACGCCTCAAGCCACCAACACCATCCTCCCACGAACGCCCAAGCCATCATGGCCCCCGAGCCCAATCTTCGCCTCGGCACGCTGCCTCCACTATACCAAGCTGGACTCGCGATGTGGTATCTGCCAAAAGATCCCGATTATGAAGAGCCGTTAGGAGGTATGCACCTGCAGAGAAGACTCGATGAGCCAGCTACTACACTCAACTCACACTCATGGTCGGCTCAGCTCTCAAGCAGTGAGCTTCCGACGGAAGGGGCATTACTAAGGGAAACGATGTGAGGAAACGCAGATGACGATGCTGTCCGTTAGAAAAGTACCGAGGTAGCGATTACGGCAAGGCCCGTGAGGATCATAGATGGGGTTGATAAGACTTAAGAGAGCTTGAAGAGCAAAGTAAGAGTTAGATGATTAGTCGCAAGACAGGAGAGCTGGTGAGCATTAATCACCATGGCTTAGACAAGCGCAGAATCTATGCGCGCATGCATAATGTAATGAGCATACACGACCAACTTGCTTTGCGATACACTGCAGGATCTGATGATGCTCTCGTTTCCCACTCGACATACACGTTATGTCAGTGCATGTGGCAAGCCATTCCACTCACACAAGAGAAGAGGTGGTACATGGGAATAGGCGCATATGGGCGCACCTTTTCAATCGCATTAATTGCGCAACATCATGTTGGCATTAGTTTAGGTGTGTCTTCTCGAGGGTCGGAATGAGGCCATTTGCGCAACTTTGCTTGGCATTCTTCCCTACTGGATAACAAGCTAATGCAAAGAGAACAGGCTAAGGCATTGCTGTAACTGTAGCTCACTCCACATCGCTGCCTGTATTCGGTGCTGATAGGCTTGACGATCGACGGAGACTCGATGTCTCTCTTCCTAATCTTGCCGCTGTCACGACGCGCTCACCTTATACAAAACCGAACAGGCCTAGGGCCTACATTAGACCAACGATGAGCACATATGGAGGCGTAGCGTCCATGTAAGCTCCAGGGTGTTCCATTTTTTCCTTGAATGGGGTGGCGCTGAGCACCTGAGACAACCACAACTGAGCTGACATCGCGCTAGCGCACGTTCTCTGTCAAATCAATCACTGAGTCGACATAACAATCCCATTGCACGGCTCCTATGTCGTTCAGTGAAACTGGCAGTCGGGCTTGGTCGCTCGTCAATCGTTATACCGCTCACCATGCTCCGCAATCCCTATCTGATCTTCCTCACTGCCACGTTATTTGATCTCATCTTAGCCATCGCGCTCGTATCTCTCTTTGCGACTGCATACCCCGATCGCTTCCGCAGCATACTATGGAAAGAAGGCGGCACCAAAGGCTGGAACTCCGATCCTATCCAACGTGTATACGACTATGCGAACTATCGCAAATCACCACCCATACCATTGATATGGGATGAAAGGTATCCTCCCACCTCCTCAATACAGCAGCCATTTGAAGGTCTAATACTTCAACCAGCTGTACATTATGCAACCTATGCATTGCCATCATAACCCTGTTCATGTGGCTCGTCCGCTTCTCAATCATGTCTTTCAGCAAGCAAACTCTCGACTTCCACTCTACGATCACGGTCAACGCGTTGTACGATATCATACTGGCGGGGCTGTGGATGTATAGTGCCTCGATCCAAAACTCGGGCGACCTTTCGGATCCAGAGCATATCAGTCTCCGGCCTTGGTATCTCGAACGCGGGTGTGCGGAGGCATGGAAGGAGAACCTGTACGGTTGCGAGCTCATGAGATGGTCGTATGGACTGTCAATGTTTGCTGCGTAAGTCGATCTTGCGAGTTCTCATCCCATGTGAGACTCGGATTGGAATAGCCTCGCTAATATTGCTACTTTCGCAGATTCTGGTTCTGCCTTCGCTGTTCGTCGACCTGCTTATATCGTGCGTACCTGCTCGGGAGAAAGCACGAGCTAGAGGATATGGTGTGCGCTTACGACAATCTCTTGTAGCATGGAACGATCTAGCCACATATTTAGTGCTGATGGCCGCCACCAGGGCACCAAAGCTATTGAAATCGGGAAGTGTGAATGAATGATATACTAGTGATGCCGGAACGACTCCGGTGAATGCCGATCATTCGCTATGAAAACTTATGCTCTCTGCACTCGGAAATGAGTTCGAACAAGTGCGCTATTCGCATCGCTCCCGCTGTCATCAACGGCACGCAGATTACCTGCACGCGATCTGACTCGATCTTACCCCAAGTGTACGTGCAAGCCGAATTGACCAATCCTGCCGTGGTGTCATCATCCAGGCAGGACCTTGCGAGTTTAAACGTCGTGCGCCGCAGTTCACGCATGCAAATGTCGCACAGGGCGATTATTACTCAGAATGAGCAACCACCAAGTCATCTACAAGCGAACACCTCACCCTAGCCTGGCAACTGAAGGACGCCAGACGCTCCGTGGCCTGGGCGATTGGCGGGCTCATGTCGGAGCGGTCCGTCCGAAGTGGGGCCAGCCTGGTCCAACCTCAAAGCCAGCCCTTTCTTCCCTTCCTCTTCACCATCGCGTCGCATACATGAATGCCTGGCGTCTCCATTTGATTCTGCACACGCATCGAACGCTGATGTGTCTAGATCATCACTCACGCTACTACAACGTGCATATTAACGTCCCAACACAAACGCCCACCATGAAGGACGAGATAACACAACAGAGCTTTCGGTAGAAGATCCAAGAACCTTGTACTCGGATATCTCTCGATGTTTGTTTCCATGTATGGGAAATGTTTTCTCATCTTCTCAATGGCATTGCACCATTTTCCTCTGTTGTCCCCAGGCTCCTGGAGGTCCGTACATATGGCATGTAAGCAACTACGTTCACATCACTAGAAAGAGCAGATCTGGTATTACTTGCGGATATATCTCCCAGTCAAGAAACGCACGCGGAGTTTCTCCAAATATTTGTCGCATTCTGCGCTTTCGAGGCTCATTGCGTCACCGACAAACAACACTGATGGACAAACTCTTAGCAGTGAATGCCTCAAAAGTCGGTGTCACTCCGAATACTCGTACAGACCCAATAGATATTGCTGGTATTCGGCGTCACGGTCTCATTCAGGAGCCAGAATGCTCAGTCGGAAGATCTGTGGTTTGCGTTAGACGTAGTGAAAGGCCTTCGGCGCAAACGCGTCTTGGCCAATGCCCGTCACGCGCTCCACCCGTTTCTGCTCACGTATACCGCATAGCCTGTGCGCTTTTTGATAGCGCTAGTAGTTACTCGCACTTGCGTTTCTGTATTCCCCGCCCGCGCTCAAACTTCCCTCTTTCCAAATCACCGCAACCCCCGCTGCGTCCAGCAACAAGTCTCGTCAATCTCTCACAAGTCCACCTTCACCAGTAATACTGCTCGACACTGCCTCTAATAGCGCACTCTGCGACACCTTTGAGCTTCAGCGACAATACCAGCATCTGCTATTGTGCAGCGCAACGACTCAGCGCCAAGGCGTAAATACTCCAATTCACTTCGAGGTCACAGCCCCGCGTTATACTATATAATTGCACGGTACAGCTCTCCTTCTTTAATAACCCATCCTTTCCACCTCAAGTGCAGAAATTCGGACTCACGACACCAAACAGTCTACCTTTACCTCAACTATACCAAACGATCCACCTTTACCTGACGCTACCAGACAGCCGACCTTTACCCCGACATACACCATGAGCGACAGAGCCAGTCAAGCAAAAGATCGCCAGAACTATGCGCGGAAAATAGTTGATCTCGTGATCGAGTGTCGCAACAAGGTCCCCAGCGACTGTCCCGAGCCGACGCTCATCCTGTCTGACGAGGCTCTCCGTGCATATGTCAGGGGACTCGAGAAGTCAACATGGGAAAATAGGACGGATATAACAGACTATCACCAAGTGTGTTCAGATCTCATTGAGAGGCTCGAGATAATTCGTGACGATCTTCCCGGCGAGTGGCGAGAGTTCTCAGAGCTACTAAGGGACGCTACAAAGTACCCGGAAGGCATTACACCCAACACCACTCCCGCTCGTCCGCTGCCACCTCAGACGAACCTTGCCTTAGAAGCTATCACTGTAGAACCTGTCCAGAAAGATAACAACATTCCCGAGGTTGTCGTCTCGCCACCTGACGGCGCTTCCATGACCCAGCTGCCTGGCATAGCCATGAGCTTTCCAACGGTATCAGCGGCAGCGAACCCCTTTGTCGGACCCGATGGTGCGTCCATCTTCAGCAAGTTTGATACGGAGACGAAGCCTGCAGACAAGCCTTTCCCGTCCATTGAAGCCAAAGGACCAGAAAGGAAGCTGGCACCTCTGGAAAAAGGGTTGCGCTCCAGGAAGCCTAATGACGGATTGGCGCCTGGCGGTCTTGCTGCAAACCCAATTCCTGATACCGCATCTGCGAAGATGATGTCCCCGGCCCCAGCACCAAAGCTTATCTTCGACTTTGGTGCTTCTGCAACATCATTCACAGCTCCTTCAACACTAGAGCCTAGTTTATCGGCCGAGCCAAAGGGGAAGAGATTACGACACACTTCGACTCCCTCACCATCATCACCCAGTTTCATCAGCAAAGATGGTTCCCCTCCCAAGATCGTTTCGTCACTGGCGGTCTCTCTAGACTCCGTCCCATCGAAGTCCACATCCACTCAGACTGACCTGGCGCCCTCTCCCAACAAGGGTCAGCTGGAGATGATCTTGACCATTCTGGAGGAAGAGAGGACTGCGCGTATCAAGGCTGATACGAAAGTCGAGGAGCTG